TCATCTTCAGTGAAGTGCCTGTTCATATCCTGTGCCCATTTTTCTATTGGATTATTTACCTTTATCTTGTTGTGGTGCTCAAGTATTTTAGTCTGTCCGTTTTCTGTACAGAGGTAGCTCATGGTTGCTGTGATGCTGAACACTGTGGCACTGATGTGTCAAACGTGATAATGGTTACCCATGGTGGACAGTGTTTGGTGGAGCTCCCTGATTAAAGCAAGCTTGGAATCAGGAGTGGCATCCACTTCCAAAATAACTTGCCTCCAGAAACCTTATGAACTTGGAGAAACAATGGAGGTTATACAAGTGTTTAGGTCTTTTGTTCATAGGGTCACTATGAGTCATCTAAGACTTGAGAGCATTTAACAACAACAACAACATTTTTGTGACTTTTTAACAATTTAAAGAATGTCTGAAAAGAATAAAAGCAATAATAAGGTTACAAATGGAAAATAAATAGTAAAATAATAGACCTTGATCCAATCTTATTGATAATTATATTACATACAAATGACTAAACCCTCCATTTAAAAGACAGAGATTGTCTGAATGGCCTGGGAAGCAGGTCTTGGCCATGTGCTGTTCACTAGAGAAGTCTTCCACTGCCATGTTTTTCCAAGTGTCCAGCTTCCATGTGTTTGTAAGGGGCCCTCTCAGAACTCCTGCCTCTCCACACCACTGTGCTCCTCCCCACACCAAAATGCTCCTCCCCACAACACAGTGCTCCTCCCCACACCACGGGGCTGCTCCCCACACCACGATGCTCCTCCCCACACCACAGTGCTCCTCCCCACACCATGGGGCTCCTCCCCACACCACAGTGCTCACACACACACCATGGTGCTCCTCCACACACCCCTGTGCTCCTCTTCATGCAGCTTCCCATGCTTGCTTAATGTCTATTTTTCATTCTTAGTTTAACTATGTTATGCCTGTAGAGAATTTTTCTATTTCTTCTGGTTTTCTAAGCCCCTTTCTTGTGTAAATGCATGCATTTCAACCAGTTTGGAAACTTTAGAATCATTTCTTCAATTGCTTTCCCTTCGGGTTCTGGTAGAATACACATTGTGGTGTCCCCTCAGTCTTTCTTCTGTGTCTCCAGCCTCCTGTTAACCCCTTTCAGTGAGTTCATTTTTTTCCCGACAATTAAGTTCTGGAATTTCTATTTGGTTCTCTTTTTGTGTTCCATTTCGCCGTGGAGAAGGCCTACTCATTCATTTGTTATAGACATATTTTTCCTTTGCATCGTTGAGCATTGTGTTATGTATAATAATTGCTCAGGGATTGCATCTGCCAACTCCAAAATCTTGTTATCTTCAGGCCAACGTCCACTTGTTTTCTCTTTTCTCTTGACCATGAGTTGTGTGTTTCTATGTCTTGAATGTCTTGCAAATTTGGATTTTTATCCCTGGATTTTGACTAATACAGTGCAGAGATTCTATATTCTGATCCTCTGAAGAATGTTGATTTGGTTGTTGTTTTAATATGTAATCAGCTGAGGAATGAGTAAGGATGACAGAAAAAGAATTGATGCCCTTGACCTGTGGTGTTGGAGAAGAGCACTGAACAACACATAGATGGCAAGAGAACAAATATCTTGGAAAGGGTGCACCCGGAGGGCTCTTTGGAGGCAAGAATGATGGGACTTCACCTCACATACTTTGGGCATGTTGCTAGGAGGGGCTATTTCTTGGAGAGGGGCATGGTGCTGGGAAGGGTTGAGTGTCAATGAAGTAGAGGAAAATCCTCAACCAGGTAGACTGCCACAACAGGCTCGTGTGTGTCCGGAAGTGTGAAGATGGCGCAGGATAGAACAGGGCTCAAATCTGTTCTTCATAGGGCCCCTGGGAGTCATACTCAACTTGACAGCACCTAACAACAACACTATACAATCATTCATATTTCATAGTCTCTCTTTTCCATCTTCCAACTGAAATCTCATTCAGTCCTTAACATCATGAGCTGACAGGCTTGAATGTACTTCAAGAGAGCAGAGATGATCTTAAATCCAGAGTTTATATGGAAAAATTCACGTTACTCCTCTGTGGGTCTCTCCTGCCCAGAATAACATACACGTACATACATACCCACATCGCGTCTCATGGCTGAAGTTGCCTTCAACTATCTTCCAGTTTGACCAATGGAGTGCTAAAAGACATCTAGATGCTCCTATTTGTAACTAAAACTCTTTAAAGTATAGAAAACTGCCCGTTTTGGCGATTAGCCCCTTCGGGTGATTGATTTACTTTAACAGTGTCATTTAAAGCTTTAACATTTTCTGTCATTACATTCAAATTCCTAACTACAATAATAATAATATGCTGTGAACACTTAACCACCCACATTAGAATTGTAACTCTGAGTTCTTTTTGAATGCTGTTTCAGAGAATTTAATGTGGGAAGTGAGATGATTTAAAACTTTGTATCTTCTGTTATGGGCAAAGGCATAATTTCTCTGACATTTTTTTTCCATTCTGAATAGGGAATTACCCTAGAAGAGGGTTTTTAGATAACAATTTTTTTACATAATGACACTTTTCCCTCTTGAATCTATCCAGACTTAACTATCTAAGAGGCATTTATTTACGTTCCATAAATTGCTAAGAAATTACAGTTCTTACACTTTCCATCTCCTTATTCTACATCACACTGGGAAAATAATGCATTGTTTCCTCCAAAAATCTCCTGTGCACCTGTCTTTGAACTTCATCAATTGACTATACCTTTTGAAAGCTGAGCAAAGTGTAATTTACCCAATCTAGCCTCTGCCTCCCTAAGTCTGTCCCCTAAAAACAAAGTTCTTTTCTTTATAGGTGGATTCGAACTTCCAGAGAGGCATCATCTTTAAGTTGACAGTGCAATGCATGATGGGCCAACGTACTGTTCATTTTTCATTTAGAAAACTAATGAAAATATCAGGCAAGAAAGAACGAGGCCTGGGGTGGCTTAGTGTGCTGCGCTGCCAGCCCAGAGTAGGGAGACTGGCTTGGTTTTACTTCCTAAAATCAGATTCCTTACAACACTGAGTTTGTTTGCCAAGTTCCTAAATAGGAGAAACATTTGTTTTAAGAATAGCTAATGTTTTTAACAAGAGCTAATGTTGTGCCAACTCGACAGCACATAACAAAAATATTGTGCCAAAGGAATGGATATGTCCTGGAGAAGGTGCAGCCGAGGGCTCTTGGGAAGCAGAGATGACAAGGCTTCGCCTCTCACACTTCGGACATGTTTCTAGAAGGGGCTGTTCCTTGGAGAAGGACCTGATGCTTAGAAAAGTGGAGGGTCAGTGAAGGCGAGGGGGACCCTCTACCAGGTGGATTGACACAGTGACCACCACAGTAGGCTTAATGTGTCAGGGTGTGTGAGGATGGCACAGGATAGGACAGGGCTCAGATCTCTTGTTCATGGGGTCACTGGGAGACACAGCTGACTCTACAGACCTAACTAAGGACAACGTGAGTGAGAAAGCTAACTTCACCCTGGCTGGTGCCACCCTCGTCCCCTCCACCACACCTGAGCCCGGTGGCATTCACCGTGTCACTGCGTCTTCTTGAGAGTCTTCCTGTCTTGGGGACTCATCTTAGATTTGGGTCAAATAGTTTCCAACCTAACATTTCAAGAACCAATGGGAAGATGGAAAGCAGTTCAAGGCAAATACACTGGACTTTGTTTTTATTTGGAACCTGAAGAAAGACATTTTTATAGCTCTGCAATTCTCCATGAATATTTGAATAATGAATGTATATATACTGAATCAGTTTGTTGACACATTCTCAACTGTAGGAAAATTGCATGCTTTTTGTTGTTGTTTACACTATCAAATCCAATCAAACCAAACTAGATGGTTAACTAAAATGATTAATGAATGTGGAATTTGCTGATGGTTTTAAATTTAACATGTGTCATTAATGTCAGGGTTGATTAGTTCTCTATCTGAAAGGCTGCTATTACAGCTTTGGGCAATTTAGACGTAGTCAGTCAGTGAGCTTAATTCCAGTGGGGTGAGAGGAATTCCATCTCTAAGGGAAGTGGAGCAAAGGCCTTGGCTGTGTACGTCTCAAGAGTGAGTGAAAGGAAGGGAACAGGAATCAAAAATCAGAAGCCCTTGCTTTCTATGTGCGTAACGCAGTCTGGAAGCAGTCTTCATTTCGCTTCGAGGTCTAGAGATAACTGGAATCCATGTTGGGTTTCTTTTCTCTGTTTTTTGTTTGTTTATCTCCAGGTGCCTTTCCCAAGGGCGGTTGCTATAACATTGATGACCTGACCTTAACCGGTGGCCCAAGGACAGTAGTCCTTGCCTCTGAGGTCTCCCAGGTGAAGGCGATCTAATAATCTATTTAAGGAAGAGGAAGGATCTTCTTTACTAAAGACAAGCAGATGTGAGCGAGTGCCAGGAGGCTCTGGAGCAGCCAAGTTGACTCTCTGTTACAACAACCTGCGCACAACAGATCACAGCCCGGCCTGGTCCCGCCCGCCCAGCGGTCTACTCCAGCCACAGCTTCAGTCCTTCTCATTGAGGGGTTTGCTCTCCGTGGCTGATGCTCTGTTTTGCCAACATGATGTCCATTTCCAAGGGCTGGGCCCTGCTGACAACATTCTTAAAGTGTGTAAGATGAAGCCTCATTGTCCTTGCTTCTAAGAAAACACCCTGGCTACCCCCTACTCCAAGTCTTAGGCCCAAAAATTATGTAAGTCATTTCCTAATGTATTTACCTACCTGCCAGCCTACTACCTGCTATCTGTCTCTTGCTGCCTCTGTTTCTCTGGAGAACACGAATACACTGTACAAAAAGAGACAATAAAACATTTCTAATTTTTCACTTTTAAAATACTTTATTATTGGTCCAAGGGTTCAGAGATATTTTAAGTGTCACAGGGTGGAGCAGAGAGGAGGCAGTATATTTACTGAGAGACAACACTGGGGTCTTCAGATTCCACCCCTCCCTAGGGGACAAGGGGGTCTCTCAGCAGGAAAGATCTGAGCTGGAGGGAGAGACCTATCATGAATGCATTTTAGCCATTTCTAGGAAAAAGGCAGCAAATAATTTGGACCCTTCTATGTAGTTCCACCTAAGACAAGAAAAAAGGAAGGAAATTTTGTTATTGCCATTCAAATGAAGAAAATGTTATTTCAAGAAAAAGATTATAAAAATTTCATCTAAAGTGTTTAACATTCCATTCTGGGATCTTAGCCTCAAAGGCACTTATTAAATTTAGTGTGAAAATTGCATTGTTATTAAGCAAACGGTTTCTGTCCCAAACCATCAAATTTTCAAATCCATTGCATTCATTCCCTCACTGTTGGCCTGACATGTGAGTCTGTGCCCAGTGTTTTCTCAGTCTCTCTGGTCTGTGATGTTGAGGAGATGTGATAACTGGCCCGGGACACACATTTTAAACATTTGGAAACATACTTTATGATAATCCACTGCATCCCTACTGAACTGAATAGGGATCACTGAGGTGGAGAAGCCGGGGTTTGCCCAGGGAGGGGAATGCCCAGAGATCAGCTGACCTGTTGATCTTCTCGTTCTGAGAATGTTCTCCATCATCAACAGCCCCCAGTGGGAGCATCATCACACTCTTCTGGATGACATCCTGAAATATCCTGGCAACTGGAATGGTTGACCCATCCCGGATCATGTCTGGTTCTGTTCCGAACACTGAAACACCAGAAAAGCATCAGAAGTCAACGCCAAGATGCCTGGTAACATCCTACATTTTCAAAAGGAGTGTTGACACTTTCATTGTCTTTCTTTTTTCTCTTTTAACTATTCAAAGGATGCCTAGGGTAGGTAAGCTCCTTAAGCTCATGCAATTTACATCCTAAAAAGTCAGCATTGAGAAACATTTTGGTTGCCTCCTTCTCTACTTTAAAATGTCATTTAAATAAGATTTTTTGTTTTTTTAAGCTCAGTTTAGACTTACAGAAAAGTTGTAAAAATAGCAGAGACATTCCCTTGTATCTTACTCTGTCCTCCCTAACACAAATATCCTACTAACCACTGAGCAGTTTCCAGGAGAAATAAACTCATATTTCTGCAGCATTATTAACTAATCTCAAACTCCCTTTCCCCACTCTTGGGTCCAACCCAGTGCCCCACTTTTCATCTGTCAGTGTTTCTGAGTCCCTTCTGTTGTCGTTGAGAACAGATGACTCAGAACCGACCCATGGCTGACCCTCCAGCTAATCGCACAGGAGGAGGTCGTCCATCCTCTCACGGAGCAGCTGGTGGATACGAACCATGTGCCCTCAGTATTGCAGCGCGGTTTCTTACTACTAGGCCACCAGAGTTCTCTTCTAGTCTGTGACATTCCTTAGTCTTTACCTTTCTGGAAGGAAGATCCATGGAAGGAACTCTAGTGGCTCAATTGTTGAAACACTTGGCTGCTAACCAAAAGGTCAGAGGTTCAAACACAGCCTCCACTCTGCAGGGTAAACATGTGGCCATCAGACTCCAGACAGATTTCTAGCCTCAGAAAACCTGTGGGATACTTCAGTCCCACAGGATTGCTGTTTGTCAAGACCAGCTCAGCAGCCATAGACTTTGACCTTCCATGGCCTTGAAACTCTGGAAGAGCACAGATCAGAACTGAGAGGCATGAAGCAAGTCCTGTCCTAGAACCCTCAGAAGGAACTGACATGGCCAGCACCCTGATTTACACTCCTGCCATCTAGAAATGAGACAGTAGATTTATTTTTTTTAAAAGTCGTCATGTCATGACATTTGTCATGGGCAAAGGTGAAGCTAAGACATTATCATCTAAAAATTCCTCATGCTTTATTTAGCATAGGGCATGAAGCTGGCTCAAAATGGTTCAGCACTTACCATCGTCAACAAGGGCCTCAGAGATCAGCCCAAAGCTGAGGTATTCTGAACCAAGTAAAACACTGGGTCCAAGATGGTGGCCAATTACTCAGCTCTGAATGTGAGCTATTCTCCAGAATCCTACCTCTAATGTTGCTCTGAAAAGTCCTGCCACAAAGTCTAACAGGACGGTAAGTATATTGGAGAGGATGTCATGCACAGTTGGTTGGATTGTAAATTGGTACTCTGGAAGGCAGTTTGACATTTCCTAAAAAAACTGAACATAGAAACTCCATATGACCTGGAGAAGGAGGGGCAATCTCCTCCTGTACCAGCCAGATCCAATTTGATGGTACACACATAAAAATAATAATAAAGAATTAAAAAAAGAAAGAAAGAAACTTCATATGACTTAGCCATTCCACTGCTTGCAAAAAACCCTAAGAAATTTACAACTGAGACACAAGCAGAGACTTGTACATCAGTGTTTCAAGGCAGCATTATTCATCATCTCAAGAACATGGAAACAGCCCAAATGTCCAGCCACAATAGAATGAATTGAGGAAATCCACTCAATGGAATACTACGCAGCACACAGGAGCAATCATTTTGAAAATTACTACATAACTTGGGAGGGACAGGAGAGCATTATGCTAAGTGAACCAACTCAGTCCCATAAGGACAAATACTGTATATGACCATTATTGTAGAAATAGAAAAAAAATTAGTAAAACAGGTATGAGGATCCAAGGAGGTGGATGGTAGGAGCAGAGGAGCAGTAAAGATGGGCAGGGGGAAAATCATAGGGTCACACAATTTGACGGGTAGAGGGAGGAGTGTGTAAAGGAAATAGCAAAATCCAGAGGAGATCTGGAAAGACAGAGCAATGGTGAGCATATTTCAAAGCTGATTAATTTTATAAAATATAATGAATAGGAGTGATTGTATAAAACACAATGTGAATGAAGATAGAAAACAACGTCTACAAACTATGTAAGCAAATCAGTATGTATATTTTGAAAAAGGACTGTCCTGCCACAGTGCTTCCTTCTGAAAGGCTCAGTGCCAGAAGTGGGAGACGGGACGACTGGAGGGCCATGGGGAACAGCACACATTCCGAGACGTGAGGTTTGTTTGTGATTTGGGTGAAAACACCACAGCCGACAGTGTTGGATGCTGTGCAACACTGAACTGGTTCAAAGCAGTTTGCAGCCTTACTTTTTGGGGCAACCTATCTTGCAATTCCTGCCAGGGAAGTGACACAAGAACTCAGCAACAAGGAGACACTTGAAGATGAGAGCAATCATGGCCACTTGTGGGCCAGCCACTGTGGTTTCTTCCATGTAAGATGGAGATGGCCACGCGGGGACAAGAGATGCTGTCTGTAAGCGGCCCTGCACCTGTAAAACTAGATGGCTGCGGGGGATGAGAAGAGATGCTGTCTGTAAGCAGCCCTGCAGGTTGCCTGCACTCAGGAGCCAAGCCCATAGGTAGACCCTGGAGGAACGGTTCTAGACCACAGCAACAGTGTGGTGTATGGTCGAATTACAAGTACGCTCATTCACTAATCACAGTCAAGCAAATCATGGATGTTCCGAGAATGGCCCAAATGGGATGCAGAGACAGAAGTGGGCACATGCTGCTGGAAGAGTGGAACCAGTCACCTTGTTTAACACAAGCTTGTCACAAAACTTCACCCTGTTAAAAAATGCAGTGTCTGCAAAGAAAAAGTCCTGCTTGGATACAGAAAGATGCATTTACATTCCTTTTCAGACTATCAGCTCTGTCACCACTCAGTCACCAGTTGTTGATTCCTCTGTAGATGAAAATTTCACACAATCTGCCTTGAGTGTCCATCTGTGGTGCTAGACATTTTTTTAAAAACAGACAGTGGTGATGATTATAGAACATAATGGACGTAACTGATGTCTCTCAGTTGCGTGCATCAAAATATTGAACTGGCCTATATTTTGTTACAATGTTCAAGCTCAGGCTCATTGCTGTGGAGCTGAACCCACTCACAGCTGACCCTCCAGCAGATTTTCAGGAGCTGTTAAGTGGAATAGGAGGGGGCTGCTCATCTTTCTCTCTCAGAGCAGCTGGTGGGTCCCAAGGAAGTTCCTTTGGGTTGGCAGTGTAGCTCCTTACCCAGATGGCCATCAGAGCTCTGTAGTGTTTATAATAATAATTCTTAAAACCTTAAAATTACAGAAATCGTATATACAGACAAAGAACACAATAAGGACCAAGACAAGAAAGGACCAACTTGGCAAGAACTGCGATAAAGACGACACCACTATTGCAGTTGGTAAACAGGAAGAAGATAACGTGTAACAGTTCCAAAGGGGAAGCGGAGAAGGCGTGCAGAAGGAGAGGACATCAGGACTGCAGAGAGCATGGCAGCGTGTGAAGGACCAGGTGGGGTGGGGGACTGGATGATACAAGTCATAGAGCAGTACTAATTAAGTATGTAAAGCACAATGTAGAGACATTGTTGTATGAAAGAAAATGCACATGAATGAAACAATGTGGATGATTGTACAAAACAAGGTGAATTTTAAACAACAAACTCAGTATATGTGAATGACTGTGTGCAAACCAATAAAAGCAAAAGCAAAACATGAAGCCTCACCCGTTTTTACTGCTCTCCTTGCTGCCATGTACTGAGTGTCATTAATATTTGCAATCCAAGGGCGCATCCCCAGCACCATGGAAACAGCCATCTGGTTGGGACTGTTTCTCTTGGAGAAGACATCCTCAAGATGCTGCTTCACCTGAAAAGAAATGTTTTCAAAAGAAAGAGGTCATATCAGTTGCTCTCATACCACAAGTATGCACAAGGTTTTCACCAAGGATTTCACCTCCATTCTGCAGAGAGCATTGCATAACGTGGGCTTGATACTCAAGAGGCAGAAGAAAAGCAATCGGATGAGGACTGAGGACAGACAGGCCGACGGGGGTCCCTTAGCCCTTTCCTCAGTCTACTTTCTGTTGAACGAACCTGAGGTGACTGATGACAGGAACTACTTAGATACTTAACTCCTTCTAGACAATATTTTCACTAAAATGGTTGCATTCGAAGGAGTAATATAGAGCATTTTGGTAAAATAATGGCTGGAGCTCAGTTGTCAGATCTGTATGTATCCAGTCTCGCAGTGAGATCTACCACTTAATTCAAGACCATTTCCCACTGGTTCAGCTCCCTGTGTGGACTGATGTAACTAGTGCAATTGCACTTAATTAAGGAAAGATATTTTTGCTGAACGGAAATTTCACTGGTGTGCTGATTTTGCTCCAGTCCCATTGTATTGAAAAAAAGATCCCTCAATGCCTACAATGGAGCACTCCCTGAACTGGCGTGGGAGCCCCTAAAACACACACATGTCGTCTTAGTGTGCTTCAGAGACACTGCGTTCTTTGAGAGTTGGAGGTCTGTAGTAACTGACCGGGTGAGTCTGTGGATGCATTTCCCAGCATCAGGTGCTCCCCTCGTGTCTGTCCCATTTGGGTCATTCTTACAACCTTTTACAAACTTTCTCATCATGCCACAGCCTACCTGGTGGGAGACAGAGTAAACACAGCCTTTCTGTGACCTGGGAAATGAAATCGTGTGTGTGATAGTCACTTTAGTGTGTCGGTCTGGAACCAAACTAAAAATACCTCCGAGATAAGCTCAGAAACGTGCTTCCAGGAAGATTGGCGGTGGGCTTGTGTTACCTGCTTCTCCACCACAGACAGGTTCATGTGAGGGACCAGGCGGATGGAGAACTTCCCCGTGACTCGGCCAGGTATGACTGTTTTAGTTCCGGGTCCATCAAACGCGCCTTCAATGCCATGAATAGAAAGAGAGGGATATCTCCACAGATGCATCAGAACTTCTTCCTAGATCAAGACAAACATTTCCAAGGAAAGTGTCACCCAAAAGATCCTTGATTCAAACAGGAATGAAAACACATCAAGCCCAAACGTTTGCTTTCTGGTGAAACCTATCAAGAGCACCCTGGAGGGAAGAGATGCGGTCAGATCCGTCCTCATAAACTTCCCCATCCTGTCAGCATGGTGGCTCCCTGGCACTCTCGTAACTTTCAGATGCTACAGCAGGAGACATGGAGAAGAAGGAGGAGGAGGAGGAGGAGGAGGCATGGAGGAGAAGGAGGAGGCATGGAGGAGAAGGAGGAGGCATGGAGGAGAAAGAGGAGGAAGAGGAGGCATGGAGGAGAAAGAAGAGGAGGAGGATGAGGCATGGAGGAGAAGGAGAAGGGAAAAGGAAAGGAAAAAGAATCTACATGTGTCCAGTAGTGAAGCTGTACAAACAAACAACTCATTACCATTACCATGGGATGAATCCTGAGCCAGGTAACACCACAGGCATCAGCCTGGGACTGTGCTCCACGGGGGCCCCATGTAACCCCTCAGAAGTCAGCCTGAGACCTGCTCCATGGGGGCCTCGTGTAACCCCACAGAAGCCAGCCTGGGACCACGTTCATGTAACCCCCAGGATGTCAGGCTGGGACTGCGCTGCATGGGGCCTCGTGGTTGGGTAGCACTGAAAGCACATGGCTGGGCCCTCTGAGTAGATGCCACCCTCCCCGCCCTCCTTCGTATGCCCCTTGGCGCTGCTGCTGCTCCCAGGTGCTTTCATGTCAGTTCTGAGCCCCAACGCCCCAGCTGGGATGGCACACTGTCTGGGCCCACCCATGTCTTCTCACCAGGGCACCTTTACTTGAATTTGCTATTTTAGTGACTGTGTGGACCCACCTGGATGAGGGTCGTCTTTGTCACTGATTTCCCGCCTTTAGTTGTAAACAGAAAACCCACCACAGAGGGGACTCACCATTGGTTTCCGAGGTTATAAATCTTTCTAGGAGGAGACTGATCATATTTTTCCTGAGGGGGATTTGAACTGCCAACCTTTCCATGAGTAGCCTGATGTGTTATGTACTATGCCACCAGGGCCTGGTTCCTGTAAATTTAACACCTTATGATGAGAGTTCTGGCCCTGGACTTGGTCTATGGAAAGGGCAAGCAGTCATACAGACCACCAAGTCTTGGTTTTACCTGGAAGAGGGAATGATGAGAGCTCTAGGAGCTGGACTCACCTTGATTATTGAACAGTCAAACGAGACCTATTAATGGGCTGAAGGCAGAAGGAAGGCCCGGTGTTTCAAGTAGCTTTGTTGGGAAAGCAAGACCCTGGTACAAACAGACCCTGAGAAGGGGCTGCTTCCTGAAGGAGGCCTCTGGAAGCGGCCATGAAGGCCAGTGTCTGCCTGGGACACAAAGGCTCTTCTACAACAGATTAGACTGATGGTCCACTGGACACTGGAAAAGGTGTCTAATCCTACTTTCAGCTTGTCCATCAACTTGCGACCATACCTTGGTGTCGAAGAGAAACTTCTCCACCTGGGTGCTGTTCTGGTACTCTCTGAGGTCCAGGTCAATGGTCTCATACAGTTTTCTCTCCTCTTCAGTGAGTGGAGCCACGCTGTCATAGATTCCCGGGACCAGAATGTGACCAGAGGAGTTGACAAGGCTTCCTACAAGACAAAGAGAAATCCACCAGCTCCCCTCTAAATACACAGAGAAGCAAGGGGAATCCATCGGTGCCCTCAAGACACACAGGCAAGGAGGTGGGCCAGAGGGTCAAAACAGCCAGGTCCGGCCAGAGCCAGGTATGTTACATTACTTCTGATGTGTACATGTTGAACTGAGACAATGATGGATCAAGGTGCTCCGCTGTGGAAGGAAGGGGTGAGGACTGTGAGGGGGTCCTAGCAGCTCTGCCACAGGGGCTGGTAGTGCAGGAGCACAAGGCCAAGGGGTCTCAAGTGTAGGAATACTGATGATACCACGTGGTGCAGTCAGAGGGGTGACAAAATAACTGCCCATAAACATGTGTGTGCAGGGCTTTGGCACAAATTCAACATTTTTTAGAAAAGTATCCCTGTAGTTAACTATGACAGTAAGGATATTTTTGTAACCTCACCTCCCTTGCATCCATACACCCAGCAGGCTAAAAGTCCATGCTAACTCACAGAGCCTCACACTGAGCCCCGCTCAGAGCGTCAAGCAGGCTCCGGATCCCGTGGCTTTGCCAAACACATGCTGCTTTTTTTTTTTTAATTGCTACTGATGCACAAGATTGGTGGGTGGGGAGCGACACGAAGCCCAGGATGCCCTGCCAGGGGGTGCTAGTGGGACCGGGCAGAGCTGTGGGTAAAGAGAGGAGTGGCTCTCCAGATGACCCCCAGTGAGCACCCCATTGCTCCTGGCAGTTACACTTGACCGTCTTCACATGAGTGCCCTCTGTGCTCGGTGGGCAGAACCTGGAGTGGGCGTCTGAGCTTATGTCACTAGAGGCCACTGACCCATGCGTAACATACTGCCAGTGTCCAAAAGTCAGACGGACATCTCTTCTGCAGTGAGGGGACCCTCAGGACTGTGGTCCTTACACATCGACAAGCCCTGTACTGAGTACACACACACACACACACACACACACACACACACACCCCACCCCAGGATCAGCTTTTGAGCAAGCATGGGACAGGTCTGCAGGGGACAACAATGCTAGGGAAAAACAAGAGGGCAGCATCCACTCCGAAGGCAGGAAGGGTGGGAAAGGACAGTGGAAAGGGGAACTCAGAAAGAAGTGGCAGAGAGAGGGCTGTGACATCGAGGGGTTGTAACCAGTGTAACAGAGAGCATGCATTGCTGACATGGACACGCGTGTGCTCCGAACACCTTCCCCCAAACTACACTGAAAACGGTGTCATCAGAGGGCAGAGCTGACTGGGGCGCCCAGGGGGAAAGAGAGGCCTGCAGCCCCTCCCCCCTTAGCAGACACACACCCTGGAATCCCAGGAGAAGAGGCACCTGAGTCAGAGAAAGGAAATCCTCACCCAGAAGAGCGACCAGGTCCGCCATTGGCTCGTGGAGGATGCCCCCGAAGGTCCCCGAGTGGAAGTCCTGGTCTCTGCCCTTGACCTGCAGAGGGAGGATGGACGGTTAGGCCTCGCCTCAGTGCAGCTTCCCAAGCAGTGGAAATGGCAGGGTCCACGATGACCCAGACCTGACAGCCAGACACACGGTTCTCAGACATGCCCTGTGGAGTCCCCACCTTTGCCGTTTCTCACTGCCCACTGGCCCCTGACTGTCCTGAGGTGGCTCCTTCCCCACCTCTCCCACCAACACCTCCCTATAAAATGACTGGTGCCCACAGTGTAAAGTGTAATGGATTAAACTGCTTCAAAAGGTTGACTGTTCAAATCCACCAGCACTCTCTCAGAAAGCTGGGCTGCCTCCTTCTATAATCCAGGTTTAAGTCTCAGAGACCCAATGTGTCACACTGTAACCCACTTGGCAGGAGTGGCTTTTCCATACCACTGTCTAAGGAGTGCTGGTGGTGTAGTGTGTTACATGGTCAACTGCCAACCAAAAGGGCAGAGGTTCAAATCCACCAGCTGCTCCTTGAGAGAAAGATGGGCAGTCTCCTCCTGGAAAGGCTCATAGGCTCGGAAAATCTACAGAGGGTCGGCAGAGGGCATCTTCCAACCAAAGGGTCAGTAGTTCAAAGCCACCAGTTTCTCTGTGGCCATCTGCCCTCACAGGAGCTGTGGAAAGCTGCAGGCAGCCCGCTCTGCAGGACAGGGCTGGGGTCTACGGGAAGCCTCCCTCAGCAGGAGGGGCCCGCTCTGTGGGCTGGGTCCTGGTTCTCAGGAGCCAAGCCTCTCTCTTCACTTGTCTGTTTCATTTCCTGTGTCTCTTTTCCTAACCTTTTTCCTCCCCGACCACTGAAGCCTGATCTTTGGCACTCTCTTCCACTTCCACTTAAACATCCTTCCCTAGATATCTGACCTCTGGTCTGAACACCAGCCGTACATTTTGCTGGCTCCCCAAACACTCCACTTGGATGTACTTCCAGCATCTCCCGCTCAGGAGCTCTAGAACAGAGCTACCTTCATCGGCCCGCTTGCAGAACATGGAGAGACAGCACCCACCTTCCAATCAGCCTTGATCTCTTGATTTCCCCTCAGGCTGTCCAGGCAGTTACTGATTTCTGAAGAGAATTTTCACTGTCTCTTTGGTTCGCTCCCTCCCTCCAAAACATTCCAGGAGTAGAATAGCAGGCCTTGCGTGAGCATATTTCTGGGTAGACTCGAACTTCTAACCTTGCAGTAAGCAGTGTGTGTGGGGGGTGTTAACCCCAGGGTCTCATGTGCGTCACAGCCTTGCCTCTCAAGCCTCCTTCCAGAAGAATGTCCACGAGTGTTTCCACGGGTCCTCAGCTCTCTCCTCCTGGTCCTTCCTGCCCCTCCAGGCTGTGTATCCAGGTGAAGGACACTTGCGCCCCCACGATCCCTGTTCTTTCCGTCCTATGACCCCAGGGGCCTGGGGCCTATTTTCCCCCTCACTCCCCCATGTTGCAGTGGGGTGCATACCTCCACGGTGAAGTAGCTGTTCCCACGGGTGCCGTAGGTGAGGGCCGGCTTCTGCCTGCTGATCCACAGGTTATCAGAAATGACGATGTGGTCCACACTGGAGAAGAAGCGGTCCTTCTCCCTTCTGACGACATCCTCCAGCCCCACAGAGCCGGCCTCCTCCGTCCCTTCGATGACAAACTTCACGTTCACAGGGAGGTCCTGGGACAGCACAGAGCCTTTGGTTATCAGGCTGCCCACCCCCGCCCCGGGCAGAGCCGGTGTGCCCGCGTGGATGGTCATCAGGCCGCCCCCCTCCCTGGCAGAGCCGGTGTGCCCGCGTGGAGCACCCTCGCTGTGCGCACTGCAGACCTTTGCTCCTTGTCTGTCTGGACCTGGAAGCTCCATGGCTTGGAGCAGCCCCTAGTCTTCACTGACAGACGGGTGGGGGGTGGGTGTGCCCGTGGGGCTGTGGTCTCCCACGTGCAAGGCGAGAGCTCCACCACTGAGCCACCAGTGTCCTTGTATTTAACACTCGTCATTGACCCCCTGTCACTGAGTCAATTCTGAGTCCTGGTGACCCCACCGGACAGGACAGCACTGCCTCAGAGAACTCCAGAGGATGAAGGTCTTTACAGAAGCAGGGCGTTCACCTTGAGCCTGCAGAATGACTGCTGGCTGCTTTGAACCACTCACCTTTCAGTCAGCTGAGTCCTAAGCCATGAGGACTCCCTTACCCAGACATAACCCACTGCCAGTCAGCAACCCTTCCTGGAGGACCGAGTGGAACAGTTCCACTGTTTCAGTCTGTCATGTCCACAGAAGAGGACTGCCGCATCTTTCCTCCACGGAGCTAGTGGCTTTGAACTGCCTCCTCAGTTAGCAGCCAAGTGCTGTCATCACAGCACCACCAGGGTTCCCTAGGTTTAACCCAAGCACGATGGATGCCTGCTCACAGGCCAGGGTTCTGTGTCCTGCAGAGGAGTCTGACCCAGTTTTGCAAAGGATAACCCAGGGGAAGCCCCGCTGTGTACTCGCCTGTTTGGCGCTCCCCTCGCTTCACCAATATGCTACCACAGAGAAGCTGGGGAAGAGTTTCCCAAAGAAAAAGCTGCATGCACACCAGCTGTGTGTCTGCAAAGTGAGGCATTTCCCTCCTCCTCCACAAAAGGAATTTTCCGAGAAAGGTTACTCAGCTGCAAATCCCTTCTGTGTCCTCATAATTCTGAGCATTATAAACGAGAACCTTTTTCCTTTGAAAGGCGGTCTGATGTTTAAGCCCCTGGGGAATTTTCATTTCAAGCATCTGTGATTTCTCAAGCCTGGTTTCAGCTGCCTTTTAACGTCTTTAGAGGCTTTGATCTTGCAGCAAAATGGGACTGGAGTTTGTCTCTCATTAATATCAGGGCGTGGGATAGGACTCCTTTAAAATTGTTACAATGTGCCTTTCCCCTGGGGGTTTTGATCTTTTTGTATCTTTATAATTTATAACCTCACATGTCGCAGAGCCACATGAAGAGATGAGGTCAAAGTGTTATCCCAGAGCAGCAGGAAAGATCTTGAAGGAATCAGTGACAGAGAAGCGACACAGCACAATTACACCAATTAGCCCTAATGAGTGGGCAGCTCGTCAAGAATTAACATGGGTAGAGGATTAACTATGAGAAATGCTGGGCCTCGGGGTCCTTCAGCTTGATGGGGCCATCAAGCATTCCTGAGCACCACTGTATTCCAGGTTTCTTAGGAAATCAGGCTAAAGTTGGAATTCTTAATATTAGACAACTTAATAAACCCCAGAAATAAAACAAAGTAACCCCCCCCTCCATGTCATTGAATCAATTCTGATTCCCAGTGGTGCAATAGAACAGGGTTCCAATGCTAGAGCCTTCATTGCATGGGTTAAAGGATCGGCTGCCGCCCCAAAGGTCAGGGGAAGACGGACAGTCCCCTCCTGCAAAGACGTACAGCCTCAGAAACCCAGTCAGAGCCATCGACATGACAGCAATGGGTTGTGTTCTTCCCTCTGTTTGGGGCTTTAAATAAGGTTGTGATTTCCTGGAATCAACGCAGTGAGAGTGGATTTCATCTCTGCAGAAGCAGGTTACAAGCTTTCTCCCAGGCAGCAGCCTAAAGCTTAACCACAGTGACACCAGGGTTGCTGCTGGTGCCTTGTTAACATTTAACTGATAGCCAATCTCTGAGAAGTGGTTAGAATTTCTGAGAATTCTCTGGCAAAGAATGTTTAACAAAATACAACCCAACAGCTACTAGGCATTAGAGGAGGTAGCTGGCATTTGGCCTCAGCTCTGTTCCTGAATTCCTGGGTGTCCCAGGACAGGTTGTGTTACCTCAAGGGAGCTCATTTGTGAAGCATAGGTGTTAATATTCGCTCTCAACAACAGAGTCCAGTAAGGTGAACAAGGCAGGAATAGAGGGAAGAAGAGACTGACATTCATGAAGGACCTATTATTCAGAGCCATCCAAACAGAACTCAGGGATACCACTGCTTTCTAATCGGGAACGGTGTGCACCAGGGCTGTATTCTTTCACCACACTTATGCATGAGAGGGACTGATGAGAGGAGACGGAATCTGTCGGGGGAGCATGGACGGAATAATCCTAAAGTTGAGGGAGGGTGGCAAGGCCGGACACGCTGGGAGCAGAGACCTGGCCCCAGCAAAGCACATCCTGTTTGGTACAGGAGCAGGTAGGTGAAAGAGAGCAAGACAATCATTGATGTGGGCTGACAGGGTGGCAGCCTCAGCGGGCTCCGCGTAGCCGGGTGGAGAGGACGGGCAGTGTTTTGTCTTGTCACTATGGGTCAGCACCTAACGATAACAATAACAACAGCCACAATTCAATTTACAGGCACAGCCTGAACCCCTGGGACACCAATCACTTTACCCAGTTCTCTCCAGAAGCGGGAGGTGTAGATTCCCACCCTCCTTCACAGATGAGGAGCCCGGGCCGAGGCCCGAGGTTAACGGGGAGGTTAACAGCTCCTCCAAGGACACAGGCACATTGTCTTCACGTTTGTTGTGATTGTGTAACTTTTGCATTTGAAGTGAAGAAAGCCCTCAGATTTTGGTCTGTAGTGGTTTATGTAAGAACATTGCTTTCTCCCTAGAGAGAAAAGGCAGGAGAGGGAGAGAGGGAAACCAGCACGGAGAAGTGACCCGGAGAAAAAGGGGAGCAAGGCGGGCAAGAGTGAGAGGCCTCCAGAACACTCAGGGTGACGGAAGGGCCTGGTGCGTGTGTGAAGGTCACAGCGTCATGGTGACCAGGACCCGGCCAGGAAAACATTCTCACTGATGAGACTCATCTTTCTAAATGAGACAAAGTGGTTGGGTCGAGAGCTGTTTCCCCCTCCTCGGCTATGTCACCACAGGAGGAGACACGAGGGGTTTCCCAGACAGCGGGAAGGAGGCTCCCCAGGGCAAGGGTGCCTGTGCCAAGCCTTCTGCGGGGCCAGGACAGAGGGAGGGTGTTTGCTCTGCGCTTGGCACCATTTTCCTTTCTGTCTAAAAGATCTTTTTTAAGAAGGCAAGTCCTCGCATATGGAGGTGCCCAGGCCCAGATTCGTGCGTCTGGTGCGTGGCTTTCTCCTGTGTGTTAGCAGTTCCTCCAAGGCCTTCATGAGGACCGCGCCCACATGTCCTCTCTCAGCGAGTCTGGGCTCCCCAAGCCACACTCTCCCAAAGCCCTTGGTTAGAGCAGGTGAACCTGGAACCCACAGCTTAAAGCAGGGGCGCAGAAAGACCCCACACACACCCTCTCACCCCCTCCTCCCCATGCCTGCTGCTCACTCCCAGACACCTGGCGGCCCACCTGCTCCAGCGCCCTGAAGGTGCTCACGGCGTTGATCCACGCGAGGACCGGGCCTTTGTTGTCTGTTGCTCCTCGTCCATACAGTTTCCCTGGAATGAATGGGGAGAAATTTCAGAAGCGTGTCGATCCCTCTGCCAGGGGAAGGCACTGTGTCTGTCATTAGGGGCCGTCCACGTGACTGAATCCCAGTGACTCGTGAACCCTGCCCTGTCCTGTGCCACCCTACCATCTCCACCACGGTCAAGCCCACTGTTACAGTCACCAGGTCCAGCCACCACGCTGAGGGCTTCCTCTCCAACATGATGTCCCTTTCCTGCACTGGAGCTTCCTGACCTCCCTTGGAAGTACCTGAGAAGAGGTGTCCCGCCCTCGCCTCTGAGGAACACCCTGGCTGTCCTTCCTCTAACGATAACAAGCAAACACCAAACCCACCGTGGCCAGGCTGCCCTGGCTCATGGGGACACTGTGCCGGCCTTCCGAAGCTCAAAATCTTGGCCGAATGAGACGGCCTTGGCTTTCTCCCGGAGTGGCTGGTGGGTTCAAACTGACAACCCTTTCAGCTAGTGGCCAGCACTTGACCTGCTGCTGCGCTGGGCTCCTCATCATTTGAGCAATGCCTTCCTTCTAAAGCACCTGCGGGATCCTCTGGGATCACACAGTGAGACATCCGAGTCTAAGCTCTGCCTCCACTGGAGCTCTGGTGGCCTAGTGGCAAGGAGCTGCAACTACAATCCTAGAGGCGCACGGTTCGAATCCACCAGATGCTCTGCCGGGGAAGGAGGGACAATCTCCTCCTGTACCAGTCAGATCTGATTTGACAGTACACTCACACAAAAATAATAGAATCTAGACAGGAGGCCCTACCCAGGAAGGGCCCCGGGGGTCTGTGCACACGGAACCTTACTCTGAGGTTTTACAATTAGCAGAGGAAGGAGAGCGGGGGGCTTGACTGTCTCTGGTCACCTTCACCTCGCTTTGGTTTCCTTATGAAGTACAAACGACTTGCAATATTTCCAGTGATTTACCCTCCTCACCTAACAACAACCCTCTGCACAGCCGAGACCCTGTCGGGACTTAGTCTTCAGGACACATGGGCTCCACTCTCTTTCCCAAACCAAAGAAAACCACTTCCTAGAGCAGCCAGTGGGCCTACAGGACAAGGTATCTGGCCGATCTAACCACAGCACGCCCAAGCCCAGACCGAAGACAGCAACTCATCACACACCTGAGACCTAACACCCACCCCGGCCCAACCCCACTGACCGTCCACCTCCGTCAGCGTGTAGGGGTCCCACAGCCACCCATCCTCCTTGTGGGCTGGCTGCACGTCCAGGTGGCCATAAAAGCAGATGGTGGGCTTCTTCGGGTCATTGCCCAGCTCGGCCAGGATGATGGGCGGCACGGGGAGAGTCTGCCCATCAGGCAGCTGTGGGGAGAAGGGCTCACATGAGGAACTGTAACAATTCTTCTAGAAAATGCAGACGGACATGACGATTCCTGGTACGGCTCCCACGGGGGCCTGGAGCTGCTACACCTCTACACATCTGGAGACATTTCCACTTAAGAGAAATCACAACTGAAAGTGAAGTCCTCAAGGAGATGTGGATAAACAGTGCAGGAACCTGGGGCCCCTCGCTTCAGGAGAGCCCTAGATGCTGCTTTTCCGCAGATGAAGGCCAGTGACTGCGCGTGGGTGCGGCTCGTGCCCATGTCTCACCCTCACAGTGGTTCACACTTTTTGTCACCATGCTGTCGCACACTCAGCCGACTGCAGTGCCAACACGTCTTTCACACGTGCTGGAAACCATGTGAAGAGCCCATGTACTCTTTCCTGCGGTGGCGGGGACTGAACTGTTCCTGGGACGTGATGGTGCTCTTCAGCGAGAACTCAGATCTCAGCCTTGAGCTTCATCTGAGAGCTAGGAGCCTGCAGCACAGGCCATGCACAGCCACAGCCTCCCAAGAGCGCCAGTGTCACACTGAATATTGTCCTGTGAGCGGCTGGAAGCTCTGGACAGTGAGGCTTGGAGAGGACTCCAGGAAAGAGGCATTTGAGTACAAGGACAGGCCCATCTGCAGAGGTCTGGCCCACTCCAGGCTACAGGATGTGACCAGAGAAGGAGGGTTTTCCTCTGAGAAGGAGAACCCCCACTCACTCTTCTGCTTGATTCTAACCCTGTCCTAGAGTTCCAGAGACCGGATTAGACTGGAGCTGACCAGTGTCAGCCCCTATCAGCCACCAGGGCTGATAGGACCACTGATGGTCGCCCAGGGCAGTGACATCTAGGGGAGTCACATCTGCTGAGAGCCCGTGTTCCCCAAGGCCATGCTGCCCACCCCATGTCACCAGTGGTCAGAGAGCCGCCTCACCTGCTGAGAGCCCATGTCCACAGAGTCCACACTGGCTCCCAGGCGCTGGAGCTTGTCTGCAGCCATGTCCATCATTCTGAAGATTTCTTGCCGGAGATGGGCCACAGGCTGAACGGAGTCACTCTCCACGGCCACCCACTCCTTAAGTGTCTGTAAGAAAGGCAGCTCTGTAATTAGTAGAGAAGGAACCCCAGGTTCTACAGGGTGTGTGTCCCCAGGATGTCCCCACATGCAGACATCAGACCTCCAAATGTTCTGCAGTGATGGTGTCTTGGGACTAGCCTGTCTGGGGATTTACGTCATTCCAGCCTCAGTGTTCCCATCTGCATGGGAAGGTGACGGCCTGACAGGGTGCAGTGACAAGGTGTTGGGATGCTGACAGCCACTCTGTGGGAGAAAGACAAAACCACCACTTCCGTAGGTCATGGTCACTGGAGCTCATTGGGGTCCCAGCCGTCCTGCCTCTGGGGCTTGGCAGAGTCCCAGAGCCCTGCAGGGGTCTTACGAGCTGGAATTGACTTGATGACAGTGAAGTTTTGGTTTTGCCGTCGTGCTTTAATTTCTGTTTCACTATCTGGAGTCAGATGGCACAATGGCTGAGCACTTGGCTGTTAATGGAAAGGGCAGTGGTTCGACTCCATCTGCTGCTCCATGAGGAAAGACGAGGCTGTCTGCTTCTGTGAGGGTTCACACCCTGGGAACTGGGGCAGCTTCTCTGCCACGAAGGGCCTGGGGCAGCGCTGGGGACAGTACTGCGACTCTGTCCTACCACACAGCCCTGGCTTTGGTCTGTGGCCTGCTGGAAGTTTACTGAGCCAGACACACCGGTACGCCCGGTAATCTGGGGCTTCTGACTGATAATGAGGACGTCAAGCAGCAGGGTGGGAAAGGCTATGTCCTTCAAGACCTGAGCCTCAGTGCTCTTAGGGGCCTTAAAGACACTGTGATTAAGTGCCCAGCAGCGAACCTTAAGATCGGTGGTTCAAACACACCCACTGCTCCTCAGAAGCCCCAGTGTGGCCTCAGGCATGTGTGGGGCTGCTCCAGTCACCAGGGCATTTGGACTTTAGGCATCCTTCCACCTCGGGCGCTCTGGTAGGCTGCTGGGTGAGGAGTTGCATTGCCAACCCAAACACCAGTGGTTTGGGTCCACCAGCTGCTCCAAGATGGAAAGAAGGAAAGTCTCCTTCCGCACAGCTTACTGCTTCCAAAACCCCACTGGACAGGCGGCTATGAGCTGGTACTGACTTGATGGCACTAAACAAAAACAGCACTGTCTGCACCCAGGAGCAGCTGGTGATGTGGCCCAGCCTGAGTGGGCAGACGGCCCTATCCCTGACCTGGCCTGGGCAGCCTGAGCTCGTTCCTCCACCTCATCCAGCTCCCCTTTCTCATCTGCATACAGAGCCAGAGGCTCCCACTCAAGCCCCAAGGGAGGGCCAGGTGAAGGCCAGGTGAGGGCCAGGTGAGGACCAGGTGAGGGCCAGGTGAAGGCCGGGTGAGGACCAGGTGAGGACCATGTGAGGACCATATGAGGACCATGTGAGGGCCAGGTGAGAACCAGGTGAGGACTAGGTGAGGACCAGGTGAGGGCCGGGTGAAGGCCAGGTGAAGACCATGTGAGGGCCAGGTGAGGACCAGGTGAGGACCAGGTGAGGGCCAGGTGAGGACCAGGTGAGGGCCAGGTGAGGACCAGGTGAGGACCAGGTGAGGGCCAGGTGAGGACCAGGTGAGGACCCAATGTTACCATGTATAGATGGGTGCTGGGCAGGATGCAGCATGGAGCCCCAGGACCTGTGGACCATGATGAGTTGCTGATAGCAGTCATCCTTACTCTGGTGCTGGCACCCAGGCTGCTTATCCTGGGACCAAACACCATCGAGTCCATTCCAACTCAAGGTGACCTCCAGGGGGTTTCCCAGCCTGCGCTGAAGCCAGTGACATCTGGGTTACCCATCCAACACATAACACACGGCACCACCCAGGACAGCTGTGGCTATTGCAGTTGACTGACCCTGGACTTGACCTCCACTGCTTTCAGTCTGACCTCTTCGCCTGGCCTAGCACTTTCTCTTGTGAACATGTTCACTTAAGCTGGAGAACTTGTCTATTCATTGATGTTGGTGGTTTCCTGGAAGCAGCTTGGTTATTCCCAGACTGAGTGGATGGGGACCTTTGAGGGAAGTGGGAGAGGAGGTATTTTGGCTGAAAAGCCAGAATCACACACACCTCCTAACACAGGCGATTCTCTGCCCCTTTTCCTTTCTGGTCTTTCCCCCTAAGCCCTGAGCTGGTTTTGTCCCATTCACTTTCCCAAGTGACCAAGGCTAAGTGAAAGGATGATCTTCAGGGTCAACCTCTCCGTTTTAGGAGAAAACAAGTGTTGACATCAGGCTATAGAGGGCCCGTGATAAAGCCTGTTCAGAGGGCCTGGGATGCAGGATCTGAAAGAGGACTCAGGACGCAGGTAGAACATGGCAGTGCAGGCTGCAGGATGTGTGACACTGAACTTGACAGAGCTCCTTAGCTCTCTAAGGCATTCTGGTGGTACAACGTGTCACCCTGTTGAGCCGCTATTGGAAAGGTTAGCAGTTTAAATGCAAGATGTGAAATCTCTCCAACTAACAATTTACAAGCTCAGAGAGCTGATGGAGGGTCCCTGAGTGCACAACGACTTGAGTGCAGTGGAGTTTTGGTTTGTTTTGTTGGCTCTCTCGTGCCCTCTCTAGCTTGCAATGAGTCTACAGTCAAGTCATTTTCTAAAAACAACTGAGATGCACTGGCTTTGAGTTGATCCTGGCGCAGTGACCCTGGGGGGCAGAGCAGAACTGCACCGTGGGGTTTCCAAGGCTGGAATCTTTATGGATGCCGATTCTTACTTCTAACATGAAGAAAGTTGGACCTGTCAACCGTTTGGTTAGCAGGCCAATGTCTCAAGCACAGCACCACCAGAGCTCATTGTTAGTATTATGGGAATGACTTTACGCTGAACATAGAGGGGCCCCAGGAAGGACTGAGGACCTCGAGGTGGTGGAGGAGACCTCCTGAAGGCCTGGGTGTTTGCAGCTCCCTCTCCAAGGGACAGCCCTGGACAAATGTCCTTTGGAGGACAGAGCACTGTCATTTTAGGGGAGCATCTGGGCTTTGTCTCACAGGAACATAACGGGCACCTCCAGGGACCTAGGTGTCAGTAAACCCCACAGTCTTCAGGGACCCATCACCTCACCCAGATGCCAGAACACCCACCTCCCTACCTGGACAAACTCATCTTGATGCAGGTCGATGTACTGGAACAGCTTCTCCAGCAGGCCTGTGGGTGGCGCAGGTGATGAGAACATGCCTCCCTCGAGGAGAAGGAGGAAGGCCAGCACCGTGGAAGCCTGTGAATGGGGATGGGGACTCAGACACAGCGGGCCTCAGGGGGTCAGCCCTGAACACATGTCAATGTATCTGTATCCACCTCCTCCAAGGGGGATACCCGTGGGCTTCAGGAGCCACCCTGACACTCATGACTTTGTCCCCTGCCGCCAGCTCCTCCCAGGTCAGTGCAGTGGACAGGGACAGGCACTCAGAGCACAGCAGGCTCAGGAAGCCCACCCTGACACACACACATCCTGGCCCCTGGCCCCCCGCCCCACCTCCTTCCATGTCAACAGCTGGAGATACAGCACAGAAGCTGGTGTGATTTGATGTGCTGTTGTTCACCTCCCTCCACAATTAGCTTTGAAAGCTTTGTTCCCAATGCTAAACGCTTTACCAAGGCAGAAAGCAAATACCAAACACATCATCACTAACTTTTTTTTTTCATCACTAACTTTTAAATTCAACTTGGTTTTTATTCTGGTGACAGTGTACAGAGCAAGTTGCTTTCCCATGAACGAGGGTGCCTGGAATTTTCCCACGTTGACTGCTGTCTCTATAGTGTGTGAGCACTCAGTCCTCAGCCTCCCGTGTCCCCCACATGTCCTCAGTCATGGCACAGCTCAGTCACTCCACGATGCCACCTCTTTTCTCAACAATGAGAGGTAAGACACCCTCCATGTACAGCCATCAAGGGCAACATCTGTGAGGTGAAGAGAGTGGCATCGGGATTGGAGGAAAACTCATCAACAACCTTCATTATGCAGATGACACAACTTGGCTTGTATAAAGTGATGGGAACTTGAAACATTTGCTGCAAAAGATCATCAACTCTTCAAATATGGATTACGTCTCAACATCAAGATGACTCAAGTCCTCATCACCAAACCAACGGGCAGCATCATGATAAAGAGAGGACTGAAGTTGTTAACGATTTCGTCTTACTCAGATCCAAAATCAATACCCTTATCAACAGCAGTCAGGAAATCAAAACATTAATTGCATTGGAAAAATCTGTCAGGGGCCTCTCCAGAGTACTAATGGCAAGGATGTCAGTCTAAAGACTAAGGTGCGCCTGATCCAGGCCATGAGCCTCCTAATTGCTTCCTATGCATCTCAGAGCTGGACAATTATGACCAAGGTTGACAGAAGAATAATTGGTACCTTTTGGTTGTGATTAGAAGAACAGTATTGAATATCTCATGAACTGGCAAAGGAACAAACAGGTTTGTCCAGGAGAAAGTGAAGCAAGGCTACTTCTTGGAGGCAAGGATTACAAAACTCTGTCGCACATATTTTGGGCATGTTGTCAGGAGTGGTCAGTGCTTGAAGAAGGCTGTTATGCTTGGGAGGGTAGAGGGTCAGCACAGGAGAGGAACGCCCTGGACAAGATGGATGGCACGGGAACTGCAGCAATGGGATCAGGTGCACTGGTGAGAGTGAGGTTAGCTCAGGACCGGGCAAGGTTCAGAGCTGTTGTTCACAGGGTCGCTATGAGTTCTAACAGACTGTACGGCACATAACAACATGTGCAAGCGAACATTTTATCAGAAAAATTTTTTTCTTTGTAAAGAATGCCAACAAACTTTCATCCAACAGCCTCTACAATTAGACCAACCAAACGCCCTCAGTTTCCAACTCTGCCCCTGAGCTAGCAGAGGTGGAGAAGGATGGGCAGCAGGCTCCCAGACCACATCGCTCAGGAAGTCACAAGCGCTCAGACCTGTTGGCCACCTGCCCCAGACTCTTGGCGGCTCCTCCCTGGTCTTTGGCCCTGCTGCTTTCAGCTCTGGGTCTCTCTCACTTCCCCCAACTACTGCTAGTTCTGCATAGGGACCTTCCTCCCCCTTGTTCCTCCAGGACCTAGAATTCAGAGCAGCTTCAAACTCTGTCCTCCTGCTCTCTACCTGTCGGGCTGACCCTACCTGGAAGCACTCCGGTACCTGAAGGAAGCGTGGTTCCAGGTGCCCAGCAATCCTGGAGCAGATTGAGCAAGAAGTGCACTCCCTGCCCACCTCAGGGCTGGCTGCTGGCCAAGACTCACAGTCCAGAAATGGACCGGAGGCTCCCTCTCCTCCCCCTGGAACTCTCCACTCAGGCTGAGAAGAGAGGATTGGGGTCAGGGAGGAAGGGCGGGGCTGAGGCTGCGACTCACCTTTGCAAAGTTCACCTGTGGCAGGAAAAAAAAAAGCTGGGAAGCTCAGACACATGGGGACACCACTTCCAGATATCACAAACCCCCAAATGAAACCACTACTATGGAGTGGATTCCAATGCAGGTGACCCTAAACCAGGTCTCCCAGGCTGTGAATCTTTATAGGATTCCACATGGTGAAAGTGTACAGGCAGCTAATTTGAGCCCCACTATTTCCCGGGAGCTCTGGGGCAGAATCTGTAGAGAGTGGTACTGCTAACTTAGAGGCAGCCAGTTTGAAGTCACCTGCACTATGAGCCCTGGAAGGAGCCTAGTAACAGGTAGGGAGCTCTGGTGCCTTAGCTGTAAGAAATTGTGCTGCCAATCCAAAGGGATATTGTTGCAGACCGAGGGTAAAGTATATTTATAATTATTAATAATGAGACAGACTACAAGGAATAATATAGAACTGAGAGTGTGAAAAACAGAGGGCCAACAGTTCCCATGACTGAAGGCCCCAAGCCATGCTTCTCTGAGTATTTATTTAGAATCATAAGGAAGGTAAACAAAGTAAAATCATAAGGAAGTACAAAACGAAACCAAAGGATAATGGTGAAGTCTTTTACAGATAAGGCCAAGTTCCTCTTTATGCTAATTTCAGGAGGGAGGGATTCAGTTGATACAAACTAAGAACAATGTTGACTCCTAGGGAACACCTTAGTGCCACAAGGTGACCTTCAGCTTGTATTAAGCATCCCTCATTTCCTGATATAGTATTTGGTCTACTATTAGTAAATTTGATATTCGGCTTCCCTCATTTCCCCCTCTTTTGTTTAAATCATAATATTGAGATCGTCAAGATGAGCATAATTTCTTTTCTTCAGGATTCATTTTTCCTTGTCTCTTAATCCTTTATACATAATCAAACAAATATAACCAAGAAAGCAAAATAAGTTCACAAAAATACTTCCAATAAAGCAGCATTCCCTGAAGGTCAGCTTCCATTGTCATGTTGCCATTGTTGTTGTTGTTGTTGTTGTTATGTGCCGTCGAGTCATTTGCGACTCATAGCGACCCCTATGTACAACAGCCCTAAACCCTGCTCTATCCTGTGTCAATCTCATTGCCTCCGACACACCCATCCTGATTACCCCAGTCACTGAATCAATCCACCTCATAGAGGGTCTTCTCCTCCTGCCCTGTCCCTCCACTCTGCGCAGCATGATGTCCCTCTCCAAAGACCTGTCCCTCCTTACAACATGTCCAAAGTATGTCAGGCGAAGCC